AGCGAAGCCCTCCCTATCCCTACAAGGGCTTCGCATCAGGCAGGGCAACACCCGGTTTCTCTCCTTCCAGAGGGAAGGACGCAACGTGTGGATTGAAGGGAGGGGGGACCTCAGTGGAACGCTAGGAAAAAGACTCAGGGGTACCCATGACCCAGAGGGGTCGAGGCCCCCTTCCCAGGAGGGGTTCAAGGGGAGACTTGAATTCTCCAGGATTCTATGATGCCAGGACTCTGGGTCTAGAATGAGTGACCTGAAACAATGGGGGGGGGTAGAGGGGAAAGATGAAGATCCAAGAAGATCTGAGTCTTGGTTTCAATTGGGCAACAGGATCAAGGGCAGGAGGTTGAGTGCGGGGCTCCTCAGAGAAGGAGCAGCCCACTCCCCCAGCTGTCAAAGAGGCCCAGTACAATAGGAGGAGGAAGAGCAGCCGGCAACAGGAAGCGGGGGTGGCAAGGAGGAAGGCCGGAGAGTTTGAGAGCAGGCGCAAGACGCGGGCCACTTCAACCCCTAGGATGTGCGGCATTTCCAAGCACCCTCAGCACTGCCAGTGATGGTTTAAGAACTGTAAATCTCTGGCGTAAGTGCCCTCAGGTTACCTGGGCAAATACTGTGGTTGGTCTGTGCGTCACCGTATAGCTGGGGGGAGTCCCCCCCGCCCCGCCTTTGCAAGCCTCACCCTCTGTTTCCATCATTAATAGAATATTTTCTCCCTTCTAGGAGAAACGAAGGTGCACGTAATCACAGTGGAAGATCAGGTCTGGCAAGACAGGGAAATGGGGCAATGGAATCCTTCAGCCCCGCAAGGCAAGGCGGAGCCGAGGGGCCTTTTCAGCCTGGAGGCCACGTCCCCCACAGCCCTCCCCTGCTGGGTAATTTCCAGGCCCCGCTCTGACGGCAGCCGTGCCCCTCGCTCCGGTGTCTCCCTGCGCATAGCCCTCGGGCACGCGACAAGTGTTCCCAAGGGGGGCATTTGCGATGCACATGGGTGCCAAAAATCCATCTGCTGGGGGGCCAGGGGGCTTCCTCGGGCCGTTGGTGGGCCACTGGAAGAACAGGCTGATGGGCCAGACGGGCCAGGGGTCCCACCCAGCAGGGCCCGGCTTCTTACATTAAGTTCCTATTTTAAAGTGAAACCATCAATATCTGGGGGGTGGGGAAGAGAAAGAGAGAGAGAGTTATGGTTCATGGGGTCACGAAGAGTCGGACACGACTTAACGACTAAACAACAACAACGTGATCCTGTGCACACCCCCCCCATCCAGGAAGCAGATTCCAACTGAACATTAAATAAAAATGAACAGCGAGCGAGGGCCATGATGGGCTCCCTTTTGCTGATGTGCTCAAGCAGAGCCTTGGTTTCCCACGCAGGGCAGGGGGTGGACTCCATGGCCGCGGGAGCCCCCCGACTGCAGGATCCCGATAGGCGGAGGTGCCTCAGATCCTCCACCTACAAGCCTCACTGTTGTGGCAACTGTCTCGGTGTCCCCAAAGCACGGCAGGTGTGCCAGGCGCCTCCAGAGGATTTCTCGTTATCGGCTGCCTCCCTGCCTTCGCAGCCTCCGATTACAGGACCCCCCAGCTCCCCCCACCCCGAAAACAGCAACAGCCCCTGAACCGGGCAGCCCCCCGCAGCCGGAGAAGAGCTGGCGGCGGCAGCGCTGCCCCTAGTCCCCGCGCCGGCTGCCTGGCCGGGCCCACAGGGTGGAAGGTGGGGCTGGGCCAAGGGCCGCTGACCCTTTGTCCCTCTGTCGCTCACACAGGAGCAGGCGGCAAGAAGGCGCTGGGAGCTTCCTGCTTTGGAGACTTTCTGGAGCTGTTCCATTTTTGCGGGAGGGGTGGGGTTAGGAAGCCCCCCCGAGCTTCATGCTGCTGCCTCGGAGCTGATCTCCCAAGAGCCTCGAGGCGTTCAAAATGTTAATCCCAGACCGGGTGGGGGTGCCTCGGGAATGCAAGGATGTGCTCCCAACTGAAGGGGGGATACAACCAAAGCAGGCCCGTTCCTGTGGCAGCAAAGAGACCAACCTGTTCCGCCCAGGCCACTCTCCTGTTTGTTTTTCCCCCAGAGGCGGAGGAGCAGTTCTTGCCTCCCTTCCCCAGGGCAAGCAGCTTCGCCCACTTCTCGACTCAAATAAGCAAAGCAGAAGTCGAGTCGCTCTGCAGGAGCTGCTGAGAACCCGAGCTCTGCCAAGGAGTTACAGGGGCTTTTGGGTGCGCCTCCCCAAAAGGGAGTGGCAGTTCTTAAAGCGTGGGAGCGCACGCTCGTCCTCGTCTTTTGCGCGCCCTCGCCCCTCGTTCGTTCTGTGGGTGGGGGAATCTGGAGGTCGGCGGAGCAGAGCACTCGCAGGCCAGAAAACAAATGTGGTAGAACAGAGTTCAACCTAAAGCTGTTTATTGTAAAGTCGAAGCACGCAACTTCACACGTATGCCCTGCATGGTTAATGGCTTTGCTGTGCTTCCTTTATTTTTCTCAGCCCGAGTGCTACATTTTGGCAGAAAGGCATGCAAAGCATATAAACAAACCCACTTCCTAAGAACACTTTCAGAAACATCTTTCCAAAAACAATATTTAGCAAAGTAACAGAATGGGAGGTTAGTCACCAGTAAAGAGGGAGCACACCTTGGGCCATTTTCCCAAGGTGCCCCCCTTTCTGCTGCCAAAGCGGGCATTGCCACCTGGGCAAGTGCTGATTGCCGGAGGTCACCCGCAGACGTCCTCGGGGGCTCTGGGGAAGAAACCCTCGCAATGATCAAAATAGCCCTCCTAGCGGGAGTCTTTTTTACAGCCACAATCAGGTGCAAGCCACTGCTGGGCATTACAAATTTAGGATCTGAGCCTATCTTACGGCAGCAGAGCGGGGCTTGGAGGGAGATCTCCCTCGCACAGTGGAGACGCAGGAAACTGAGGAGGTTGCAAAATACTGATAGTGGGGAAGCCCAGGGCCTCAGCAGCCTGCTGGCGCTTCACTCTTTTCCCTGCAAAATACGAAATTACGCGAAGCAGTGGAAAGACGACTCCCACAGAAGGTACTGCAAACCACTGGATCTAGCTTTTCTTAGTAGGCCTGTTAAGACTGTTAACGTGCACGACAAAGTTTTCCTCTGGAACAAAACTGTCCCACTCCAAACATCCCATCAGAGCATTTCAGTTGTTCTATTTCCTTAGAGAACAGAACTGGAAGTATTTTGACTGTTTCACTATTCATTGGGCCTTAAGACAAGCCTTTCCAAACCCATTTTTTCCAAGGTCAAAAGAGCGGATGGGGTACTAATCTATGCTGAATACTACCTTCTGCCCAACCTACAGAAAAATTGGCCAAAGGGATCGTCCAGTCCAGATCCCTCATCTCAGCAGGCAGACTGTGGCCCTCTCTGGGCCCTCAGTTCCTCAGAGGCGAGCCAGCAACTCAGGAGTGGGAAAGAGGCTGTTCCTGTCCAGCCCCAGTGCTGGGGTGGGGGTCTACTGCCAGGGAGACAGCCGGTCTCCCCCTGCCCGCACGTGGTGGACGCTGGGGCCTCCCAAATGTTGGGCTTCAAATCGCGTAAACCCCAGGCAGCACGTCCAGTAATCAGAGACGATGGGGGCTGGAATTAAAACAAACTCGGCGGAGGAGGGGGTGATAACTGCCTGCTTCCATAAAGTCCGTCCCCATATTCACAGGGCAGGCCAGCTTCTGTCAAGGGCTCCATTCAGTCCATACTTGGCACTAACAAACGGGAGCT